ACTGATTAAGTTTGCAAGGCCAACTATGAACTACTGAGGATCAGAGAAAATGGGCAATTACAAAAGAGGCTCTGATCGGGCAGCAAACTGGTATAAGCCAATATGATGATAATGATGTAATGATAACGAAGTGATTATGATGGGGGTGATTATGAGAAAGTCCACCATTCTGATGAGGACGAGGTCGATTATGACGATGATTATCATGAAGACAACGAAAATGGTCGGCACGATAATGAGGACGAAGATAACGATAGTGACAATAATCATGACGGTTATGATTATGATCATAAGGAAAAAATCATAACGATCGTGATGATTGAGATAATGAACGTGATGATGATGTCTATGATCTGATGGTCATAACGACGTTAAGAGTCATGACCACGATAATGATGACAATAGTCATAATAATAATTATATCCATGATAAGAGGCTAAACTTATGATGAGGATGATAAGGACGATGAACACGACGTCATAATGGATTGGGAATAAAATGCGTACTACTGCCTCTGACAGTTATTATTCCACAGATAAACGAAAATCACACTAAGTATACGAAGCAAACGCAAATGAAAATCTGTTGTATTTAATAAATATTAAAGACATATGTTTGCGGTTCTGATTACAATTAATTTAACACTATTGACTAAAAATAATGCCCCTCCCCACCTAACCAGCGCGATCCCCGTTTCCATCACTGAATGATACAAAATATACCAATACAGACATTGGCAAAACACAGCAAGCGAATGTGTAAAGGTGTGATCATAGTGCAGGGTACTCAATTTAAAGCCAAAATTTCTGTCTTCCGGTCTTTTGCACATACCTAAAAAAGGAGCGTAATTTGAACCTTATAAAACTGGCTGCTAATGGAGTGAAGAAAGTAAGATCACAGAAACACCGAACCTCAAAACAAAAACTTAAACCTATCAATACAATAAAACCATATTTTCATCTACATCTTCCACTGCCGTTTCTGCTTTCAGGTCGCAAAAGCAGACGCATCAGACACTGCTTCCAACGTTCCCGATCCTGTGCCAGAGTCTGAGCTTCGGCAAAACACAAATGCAATCTGGAACACATTCCTTCCATATGTTTGCACCAGGTTAATCTTGGCCGTCCCCTGGGCCTTTTGCCGGTC